TTGGCACAGCGCCTATGGCTCACAGTATGACACCTGGGAGCAATGGAAAGAAGCGCTCATTCTCCAATTCAAACGAAAGCTGACAATGCAGGAGTTCCTCGAACTGCAGACGAAGCGACGCCTTCAGAGCCACGAGACCATCGTCGAGTACATGTACTCGAAGAACGCCATTCTGAACAAGGCGCCGTACCGTTTAGCAGAGGAAGAACGAATTTCCCTTATTCTCAGCGACATCGAGGACAACACATGGACCAACCCACTCGCAGCGCAGCTGTGTGGCACAGTAACCGAACTCATTGACAGAGCGGCTTTGCTCGACGCGAGGCGTCGCACGACCGTGTGTGCCGAGAACGACAAGAAACCGTCATCGTCTACAGCGAGCCGTGGTCAGGGTTCCAACCAGCGGGTGCCAGCCAGCAGCTCTGCCAACTTGCCGAAGGCCAACCCGCGCAGCGATTTCTCGGAAGCTCAACACCCGCGGCCCATCTCTGCTCGTTCGTGCTTCAACTGCGGCGACATCGGTCACCTGTCCCGTGATTGTAGAAAGCCAAAAACGCCAGCAACAATCAGAGCGGACGAGAAACGAGCGAAGAGGGACAATAGCAGCCACGAAACAGGGACTACGTCACCTAGGCAAGCGAACTGTTTTTTGCATTCGACGGGCGGCACATTACCAATAGTGTCCGGTATTGCTAACAACCGACCCGTCCGCGTGGGCATTGACAGTGGCGCCAACTTATCCATCATGAGTGCCAATGCCTTGACGGACGACATTCCCACGCACGCATGGGTATCGCGCGAGAACATTGAAGTTCTCAATCGCAGCATATGCCCAACTCTCGCTGCAACGCTTGATGTGACACTGGGCACCACGAATGTGCGACTCGAAGACGTCGTGGTAACGGAGCTGCCCAGCGGCATCGACCTGATTCTGGGATCAGACTGGCGACCAGTCGCGAACATCGACGTAACGTTTCACACGTCAAACGATGTGACTATCGTTCCAGTCGAGCCCTCCAGAAAATTTTCATCGTCCGAAGTGCTAGCCCCGAAACAAGGCACACCACTCCGCACCGGGGAATTGCTTATTGCGATGTTCTGCCGGCAATCGGACGAGAGTGTTTCCAAAGACGAAAGGTACGTGCGCCTCAACATGAAATGTCCCGCACCCGACGAAGACTTCACGAGTCTAGTCGAAGACGCCACTCGGAAGATAACGAAAGATGTCACCGAGGCAGAGAGGGAACAACTTCACGCAATTCTGTTAAGGCATCACCAAGCGTTCACTTCCAAAGGCGACACTTTGGGTGTGTGTCCTCACACTGAACACAGCATCGAACTCAGAGACAATATACCAGTGTCATCGAGGCCGTACAGGTGCTCACAGGCTGATCGCAAGTTCATCCGAGAACAGGTGAATGACTACCTCTCTAAGGGCATTCATCATAAGGTCGAGCGAAAACGAGTACGGTGCTCTAACGATAGTCGTCGACCAACCGCACCACTTGACGACTCCACGAAGAATGGTACACGACTATCGCAAGCTCAACGAGAAAACCATCAACCCTTCTTATCCAATGCCTGTCATGGAAGACGTTATTGACGATGTCATGCGCGACGGATCGGCTTACTTGACTGTGTTGGACGTGAAGACGGCATTTCTGACTATACGAATGAAGCCGGACGACGTACACAAGACCGCATTCGTCACTCCAGACGGAAAGTACGAATAGCTTCGAAATGGCCTTTGGGTTTTGCAAGGCCCCTCAGACCATGCAAACAGTCATGCGTCGCACGTTCGATGGCTTACCTACGACAGCTACGTACATGGACGATGTCGGGCAGAGAGCCACAACAGTGAGGGAGGCTTTGGATTTACTGAACGAAGCACTCAGGAGAGTCGTGATCAACGGCTTGAAGATGGATCTCCGGAAATTCCAGTTGATTCAAGACAAAGTATCTTTCCTGGGTTACGTGATCTTCGCCGAAGGACGAACACAGGACGAATCCAGAGTTGCCACTGTCGAGAAGTTCGAGCCGCATCGCAACGCAAAGAATCTGTACTCCTTCCTGGAGTTCGCTAACCACTACCGAAAGTTCATACCGGAGTTTGCAAAGGTCACGCACAAGCTACGGCACCTTCTGGCGAAGGACGTTCCTTTCGTATGGACTGACGCTCATGAAGCAACTGTCAACGCCATAAAACACGCCTTGAAGAACCCGCCGATTTTGACGAGCTTCCGCCCAGACTGCCCAACTAACGTTCACGTCGACGCTTCGCAAACCGGGCTGCGTGCGGTGCTTTCTCAAACTCAAGACGGAAAGGAGCGGGTCATAGAGTACGCAAGCAGATCACTAAACGAGCACGATCGTGGTCTACACTCTAATATGCTCGAGTGCATGGCGCTCCACTGGGCGATCATTGAGAAGTTTTCGGTCTACCTGAGAGGAGGCCCTCGTTTTACAGTGTTCACGGACAACTTCAGCTTGTTATACCTCGTCCAGAAGGGAGCCAGCAACCGCAGATTTGCGAGGTGGACGCTCGACTTAGCAGAGTACACCTTCGACGTCAAGCACAAGCCAGGACGCCAGAACTCCGCTGCTGACGCACTCTCGAGGCAGTCGGAATCTGCAGAGGCTTTCAACCAGGGCGTTTCGACTTGAGACCTCCACTGCTACGCAGTAGTGGTCGGCAAACACAGTCGCCTACGCGAGTTTCAGGAGAGGGATACTGACTGCAAAAGATTTCGGGAGGAGGCCAAGCACAAATCTTCAGACTACGAGATCAAAAACGACATACTGGTGAAGAAATCTCTCGAGGGAGGACGGGTCCGTCGTAGGGTGATCATTCCCGCAGCCCTCCGAACCAGTGTGATGATCGTTTTCCACGACAACAACGGCCACCTAGGCGTCGAGAAGACAAGAGACCTGATCCAGCGAAAGTCCTGGTGGCCATCGATGAGAAAAGACATACACGAGTATGTTGACTCCTGCCACACGTGCCAGACCATCAACGCCCGCACGACACAGAATGAAGGTTGCCTCATCCCACGCGATATTCCTACTGAGCCAAACGCGGTGATATCCCTGAATCACATGGATCCGCTAAACGAGAAGGGAGACCACATCCTCGTGTGTATCGACCACGCCACGAGATACATGGACGCCGTGACCGTACCGAGCACTTCGTCGACGCACTACCTTTACTTCATGACAAACCGGTGGATTCCGCGATTTGGAGTTCCCAGCGTCATTATTACGGACCAAGCCAAGGGATTCGTGAACAAGAAAACCAACCAATTCCATCTCGGACTGAAAATTGCTCATCAGAACTCCCCACCGTACTGGCCACAATCAAACGGACTGATTGAGCGAATGGTAGGAACATTGAAACAGGTGCTACGCAAAATGCTAAACAACAAGGACAGATGGCAGAAGGAAACTACCCCTAGCAACTGCTAGCAATCAACGCCACGAAGCATCGTCACAGTGGCCACAGCCCAGTTCGACTCATGCACGGCTATGACCCAAAACTGCCAGGAGAGCTCAACCTCGCCTCAGTCGAGAGAGACATCAATGAGTCTCATAGACTGCACGACTTGGCAAGGGGACATGCGGAGACAAGAGAGAGGCTACTGCAGAGTCAGCGCAAAACAACGGTCCGATACGAGCAAGAAGCGGCGAACTCCGAGGTTCATAACGGGGGACCTCGTCCTGCTTGAGTTGAGCGCTCGAGGCACATTATATCCTCGCTATGAGGGTCCGTTCGAGATAACGGCCCTCGTCGAAGGAAACAGGGCCGAGATCCAAAGAGCACCCCACACACCGGGCATGATCAACCAAAAAATTGTCAACGTGGAGCAGCTTCGTAGACATAAGGAGCCGCTCCTAGAAGTTACGGAACCATCGCCATGTAACGACACGCACGCCTGAGGACAGGCGCAATTTTCGGGAGGGCCGTGTCAGCGGCACTCGAGCTCGCACAGCTGAATTCTCCGGCAGCGTCTCATTCTCCGGCAGCGTCTCCTTCTCCGGCAGCGTCTCCGTGCTTGCACGGGAAACGCTGCACTGCGTTAACGTGGACTCCTGAGCGCGTCCACTTGGCGCGGTTGCTCATTGGTTCAACGAACATTCAAAAAACAAAAGTGAGATTCGAGCCGGGACCGCAGAGCAACGCATCGCCAGAGAGAGGAGGACGAGCCGAGATTCGAGCCGAGATTCGAGCCGGGACCGCAGAGCAATGCATCGCAGAGCGAGCCGAGAAGCGAGTGGCGTCGGACGTAGCTGATCGTGCTCCTGCACCGAGTCCAGTTTCCTTATACATGTAACCACTGCCGATTCACCTGTAACTTAGCACAATACAGTTTTTCTTAAAATTTGAACCTTGCCTTTACTACATTTATTCATACATCGCTGACAGACGTTCATTGTTAAGACGCCATATTAGCTTAGTACTAGCAGCTAGGTCTAGAAACTGATTTAGACTGGGCTGCAGTCAGTTTCGGTTTGAATATGTACAAGCTATGATTGGGTTTTGTGTCCACAAGTGTTTGGTTTCGCTTTTGTTTTTTATTTCTTGCTTATTTCTTCGTGTGATAAAGTGTGTTTGCTTTGCTACACCTGTTTACTGTCTCTCTCAATCCAATCCCTTCGCAAGCGCTCCTGAGGTAAATTCGTGACAATGCAATAAAGTTGCATTTTAGATAAATTTGCTGTAGAATCATATAAAGGTTGCTATATAAAGCTGAAAAACTAAAAAAAAAACTTTGTTTTCATTTTTTTCAATTAGGCATTAAAGGGTTAATAAAATAATTGTTTATGTCTACTGTCTCAGCTCTGCACGTTTGAGTTCATGGATCCACGAACCACTCCAACATTATTTACTAGAAATACTATTTCATAAGTAGTATCAAAATAAGCAGTCTGTTCCAAAAGTGTAAACACTTTAGCATTGAAAGTGCAACTTGTGCCATGATGCACAATCTGAATAATCACCACACCTCAGGTCCTCCAGGAATCCTTCACCCAGCAACTGGTCTGCCTCGTCCAGCACCAGGAGTCGGACCCACTCCAGGGACAACTGGCCCTGCTGGATCAGCTGCAGCAGACGCCCTGTGCAACATAATGCCTTGCTCAGCAGATCAACAGCATTTCCATGCTGCCTCATACAAAATCCACCATATCCGCGATCAAAAACCTGACTTTCCCAAAATATCATTCTTGTAATCCAGAATGAGTGGCATGCTCGCCTTCTAACACAGATATTGTTACAGGAGCACATGCAGCCAGCACTTTTGTCTAGATATGAAACATGAATGCTGTTGCTATTACATGAGCACAGTACACGCGAGTATATCTGAAAAATGGTATACCCTCCTTAGACCCCAGTAAATTTGCGGCCACACAGGTGAAATCAAAACACATTTTTGGAATGCGCGCACATACTTTAGTACATGAGAAATAAATTGCGCCTTATAGCAAACAGATTTTGCACACTGGTGTGTGCATTATAATGCACACTGTGTCTTAATGCACAGAAAACAAATAACACTCGCTTATAACAAAATTTCACATTTGCCCGTGCAAAGCACTCTTGTTTGTTGTGAAACTGTCTGTAGCGATTTCGAGCAAATTCGGTAAATAGGAAGATGCTGCACTAGAATTTTGTTCACTGAGAACATTCAGAGTTTCCCCATTTCGAGGAAGATACCCATTTACAAGCTCTGACCCGTGGCTTTCTTGCGCAGTTCTTCGCTAAGAAGGCACTTTTGCTTTCACACGCTTTTGGGGTTTGCTTAAGGTCCAATTCTCCACCACACCTATTTTTAAACACCAGATAATGTGCAAGGTGCAGCCTTTTCATCCAATAATTAAAGGTCAGAGGGGTCATTGCTCGTTATTGAATTTTGAGATAACTTTCCACTTTTTCATCAATAATTCTGAGATTAAAAAAGCCAAAACTTAATTACAAAGAACTTAAAATTTGTCACTTTCCTAGTATCCCCCTGACAATGCACATACTGGGACCAAATGTGCATTATAATGCACATTTGATGTACTGCTCTTTAAAGTTAGGTGAGGTGCAAAAATTACTTCCGAAAACCTTCCGAAGTAGATTAAAACAACAATTAAAAAGTATGAATGCAGGATTATTAAAGTAATTTGGGAATTTGTTTAGTGCATTTAGCAGGACAGCGAAGATGAGAATGCCGCCATGTTTCAAAGTGGGAAAACGTGGCTTTTACTATAGTTTGCTTTCTGTAATGCTCACCAGACACCACATGATTAAAGAAAGCAATTCCACCAAGAAATCTGGCTCTAATATGGAATAAATTTCGAAGAACAGAAAAGAATAAATGTGCATTATAATGCATTCGGGGTCTAATGAGGACACTACTCACATGTTTGGGCCACAAAGATGTGACATTCTAGAACACTTGACATTTCCTGCCTAGACAACAAGCAAGGTTTCTAGCATCTAGCAGATTTATGATTATCTTTCTTAAGGCATATATTGAAGCAAAAGGCAAGCATCGAATTTTTCAAGATAGCCACGGACAGCAAGTTGTGCCTACAACATCCTTAAATTGGTATTGCATTATTATTTCTCACCTAAAAAGGATACCAGGAGCACAAAAAAGTCCCCCAGTTCCTGGGGGATGCTCGCAGCCCTTCCACCTCCCTTCACACACACACGGAGTTGAAGAGAAGTTTAGAAGGGCTCGGCTGGTTGGTTCATATTTACATATAACTACAAAAAAACGCCTGCGAAACTCGGGACAAGGATGCAGAAGAGCCACATTCATTCACAAAGAGAATTTCGTCACTCGCACTTAGTTTGATGAGATCACGTGAACACTTTGTGCACAGGTGTGTCAAAGCATGTGTGCCAAGTAAAAACCAGGACCAGCCGAGTGCCAACCAGCTCTGCTGCATCCCAGCTTTGCTCGGCTCATCTCAAGTTGCTACAATTCTTTACAGTACGGGAATGCTTGCCCAATCGCAGATCTTGTAGGGGTTAGCATACATTTATTAATCCAATGATAGCAATTCGCCATGTTGAATTCTACAGTAAGACGATAAGTTAGGCGTGTTAACGATTGAATTCTACACTTTGAGCAAAATAAAGTCAAGCCAGAAGTGAATGCCTTGTCCTCTACCACACCTAGATGGGTGTTTTGTGTACTCTGTCCAGAATTAGTAAAAAATTTACTCCCATAGAAGACGGAGTTCTTCAATAAACTGAGGATAATATTTTTGTGCATTCATCGGGGAAGAGTCAGGTTTTATGAAAGTAAGTTTTATATCCATCAAAAAAAACACTATCGAATCATATGCCAGATAATGTTTAATTAAATTAGCATCGAAACATGCAACATGGGTCACACGTACACATAGCTATCCCATATTGTGTGTCAGCCACTGTTTGTGAACAAGGAATCTGCACGAATCCTGAAACGTCATTTGTTTTCTTTGACATCAGTGACCTATTTTTTCAACAAGGCTATCACAATAAAATGGGCATGGCAAGCAGTGAAATGGCAAGGCAACTGGTGGCCATTAAAAGTAACAGAGTAGATTCTAACAGAAAGCAAGCATACGAAGGGCAGGCCAAAAGTTAAATGGGTAAATAATATTCACAGCTTTGCAGGGTAACGTGGGTGCTGCAAGCACTGAAACAAGGGAATGGATCGTGCTGTGCAGTGAATGCAGTCTGGCTGCTGGTGATGATTATGATTCCCTGCTTGTAAAACCTGAAGGCGAAAGCCAGATTGCATGATTGAAACACAATTAGAATTTTTCTTTCATAAGCATGTCTTAATAGCAACAAAAGTGTGCCAAGAGGTCCACCAGGATATCACCATACTCCCAAATGCAGAGATGTTACTTGACTCGTACTTGACTTGTTCATGTGTCAAGACAGTCTTGCCGCTCGCCATAAATCGTTCTCGAACTTGCGGACGACTTGAAAGCGAACTTGGCTCGGTCAAATTCAGGACAAGTTTCAAGTCAGCTGCGGGGCAAGCTTGAAAGCGACTTCATGCTTTATTCCAACATGGCAACCTTTCGAATAGACGTCACGTGGAGGTTGGCCGTTTTTGAGTTTGCTTGCCTCGTCATAAGCGTAGCATTTTTTGAGGCACACTGCCTGCCGAAGAATCCTCGACTCGCTTTACATGACCTGGGAAATCCGATGAATTTGTACAACGAACAACGATTCCATGCTCGGCACAGATTCATGAATGCCGTACGGCAGCTGCTGGCTATGTTGCCACTCCGTGAAAGTGGGGACAACTGAAGACAGCTTGTGCCTCCAGTGTTACAGCTACTGATGGCAATCAGGTTTTTACAGCATTGGCACATTCTAAACAGTCACCGAGAATCTCGTCAGCATTCCGTAGTTGACAGTATGCAGTGCAGTCGGAAAAGTTATGCTATTCATCGTGAAGCATCTGTATGCGATGCTGGTGCACTTTCTGCAGTCTGCGACACTTCCTACACTTATTTGGAACATTTATGAAGTGGCCAAGTTTCCTGGCGTTACAGGATGTGTTGACTGCACACATGTGCGTATTAATAGCCCCGGTGGTGACGACGCCAAAGTGTTCCGTAACTGCCAAGCCTATTTCTGTTTTTCTAAAACACGACAACACTTTCCGTCGTTTCCGTCTCTTTCGGTACACAATTGACTCACCGCTGTGTCTGTGAGCCTCGTCCATCCTTTCGTCCCGTCTAGGGCGCTCAGAAAGGCATCGTTTGCAGCACAAGGCTACGAAAAATTCGAAAAATAAAAAAGAGGTGCCCCTATCTCAGGTTTTCTGATCATGTGCCTCTGCCTTCACCATCATGAAGCAAGACATTGCTGCACGCGCGAAACGAAATTCCGCCAAGGGCAATGTCCTGACCCACGTTTTTTCTCTTGTTTACCAAGATCAACAAAAAGATACGAATCATTTTTGTTTCCAGAAATTTTTTTTTTTTTTCATATATAACTACAACCTAGCCTGCTACAAGCATGTCCACAGGCGAATAGAAAGGGGAATATCTTGAAAGCATCATTTACAGCATAAGGCTACGAAAAATTCGACAAATAAGATGTGCCCCTATCACAAGTTTTCTGATCATGCGCCTCTGCCTTCACCATTATGAAGCAAGACATTGCTGCACGCGCGAAACAAAATTCCGCCGAGGGCAATATCCTGACCCACGCTTTTTCTCTTCTTTACCAAGATCAACAAAAGGACAGGAATCACTTTTCTTCCCAGAAATTGTTTTTCTTTTTCATTTTTTCATATATAACTACGACCTAGCCTGCTACAAGCATGTCCACAGGCGAATAGAAAGGGGGATATCTTGAAAATCACGTTACCTCGTCAGCCAAGTCGGCCCAAATACACGCTGTGGCGTTCGATTTAAAAAAAAAAATGATGAAAGAACACAATGTGATGCTTGCTTCCCCTCCAAACAAGCAAACGTGAAGAAAGGCGCCGCATTTGGGTGGCCACTAAAGCCAGCGGCCAACGGACGCTTTACAGAAGCAACACTGCGCATCACTGCAGTAACAGGCACCACGTGCCGCTCATTAGCCGTAAAATGGCAAAAATATGATTGTGGCACATCGTTTTCATAGTTATTTTGAAATCTACAATCCTTTTTGCTGTAACATGTGTCTTACGTAAACAACTTCATTATTAACCTGGCTACCAGGTGAGCAACATGTTTCTGCTTAGAAGTTCGTTCTTAACTTGACCAAGCAAGACAGCCTGAGCGTCTACGAAATGCGAAGGCTAATTTGGGCACTTTGAAGTTCGTTGCTTGCTTCACACCGACTTACTCAAGTCAAGTCGAATTCCCTAATCCAAGTAACATCTCTGCATTCGGGCATTAGTGTTTATAAAAAAAATGAGCACGTGCTTAGGTTTTTACTTATTTACTTATTTCTTTCTTTATTTTGCATACACTCAAGCAACTGGGCATTGTGCAGGAGCATGGAGTACATGATTGCCACAGTAACAAAATACTGATGTTTCAGTAAACACTTTGAACCATATTTAAAGGTTTCCTTTGGCAGCCTGTGCAATTGTAGTTCATGAGCTGGCCTATACTGAAAG